CCCTTTGGTGTTATCTTCACTTTTTTCCCCCCTTGGGAAAAAAAAAAAAAAAAAAAGCTGCTATGAAAGTCAGCCTCCCCCACTTCCAAGTAATCACGAGGTGAACCAAGAGTGGAGCTGAAAGTCCAGAGCTGGCTGGGGAGGCTGGGTCCCTTGGGTGGGCAGCAAGTATGTGGGAGTTACATGCCTTCAGTTCCTTGGCCTTATGGAGCAGCCACACCACTGCTGATGAGACGTGTATCATGCTGTCACTTCAGGAAAAAGGGAAACCCAGAACAAATTTTACATGGTTTTCACCACACAGTGATTGCAGTCCTATTCAAGGCATGTCACAGTCACACCACCCACCGAGCAGAACTCAGATGGAAATTAGGCCTCCTTCCAAGTCTCTCAAGCACTGCCTAACCCTGAACAGAATAAGCCATGGATGTGAAGGAAACACAGACATGTGGCCCTATCTCCCTTGGCTTCCTGGGGGCCTCTGGTTTATCATTAACTAAAGAGAATCACCCTCAGCTCCGGGTAAGCCTAAGTGAAGCCAACACATTCTCCTATCAAATGCAACAGCTCTTAAAAAAGCAGGCAGAGCGATGCACCATTTATGAGATTTGGGTCAGTGTTTTTAACCAGAAGAATTTGATTTCTATAAAAATTCAATCAAATGAAAGAATGCAGAGATGTAGGGACTTTTCTCCACACTCAATACACCAAAGCTGGAGTGTTTTTTTCTTGTAACACCAGTCATATTTCCGAGCTGTATCTGGAGCTTTGTATGTAGTCTCTGAGATTAAAAGATGGCTAATTCTTTTTTATTACATTGAAGGAAGGGGCCTCCCCTTTGGTTTTGTCAAACAGGCATGGAATGAGTCATTTATGTATTTGTCTTATGATTTATGGTGACAATTACAAAGCTCTTCACTCAAAAATGAACAAAACAACCTATAGATACACCATCTCTTCCAGATATTTCTTTTTTTAAGTTTTTCTTTTTGTTTTTAGAGAGAGATTTCTGCTATAGGGCACATGTGCTTGCCAGAGAAATGGAGACAGAAAGTGAGACATTACCTGCCAGGGCAATGGTCATACCACAATCCCTTCTCCTCCAGTCTTCTCTCGGGATTTTGGGCATGCATGCACACATACCTGGCATGAGTTTTAAGCTGCCAGGCTAGGAACTCAAATCACAGTTGACCACGTGGGAGTCCAGTGACATAGCCACTACACTATCTACTGGTTTCTAGTTTACTTATTTCTTGAGAGACAGAGAGAGACACCTTCAACGGAGTCCTCAAGCAACGGTCTACCCCAGATTCAGAAAGCCTTTATCTCAGGCACTGGCATGCACCTAGCATGTACAGGGAGGCACTGGGAGACAAACCAGCCACCTCACATGTGGGTTCATCCTCACAGAGCAATATTCCTGCTATACCTGGCATGAGTTTTAAGCTGCCAGGCTAGGAACTCAAATCACAGTTGACCACGTGGGAGTCCAGTGACATAGCCACTACACTATCTACTGGTTTCTAGTTTACTTATTTCTTGAGAGACAGAGAGAGACACCTTCAACGGAGTCCTCAAGCAACGGTCTACCCCAGATTCAGAAAGCCTTTATCTCAGGCACTGGCATGCACCTAGCATGTACAGGGAGGCACTGGGAGACAAACCAGCCACCTCACATGTGGGTTCATCCTCACAGAGCAATATACCTGCTGCACCGTGTCTGGGTTCAAGTTGTCCCAATTTTAAACTATGACTTTGAATGTCAATCTGCTGGCCTGTAAAAACAAGCTAAAAATAGCTGTCTCCTATGGAGGGAAACTTTAGAGACTCAGAACATTCGTAGACTCTTCCTAAAAATTAGTCCATAACCTCTTTGACAGCATTATCAGAGTCTACAAAGAGCCCTAACTTCTGTTGAAAACTAGCTTTTCCTCTCCAAATCATTATAGTGCTATCCAAATATTAGCAAAGGATAGATACAGTGGTATATGGTTTTGGTATATGTGAAAATCAGATTAGATTAGAAAATGCAATTGCCATTTCATTCAGTTTTTATGTCCAATTGCCATTGAAATTTTGCTTGTATTACCTTACTCATCCTAAGAACCTGCTGAAAAGTGCCAGGGATGAATGTATGTGTCGGTTGCTAGCTTCTCTGTTGAAATGTAGTTTCTCTTATCCTCTCAATCATGAAAATAGAACCTTGAAAGGTAACAAGGATATAACTATGTTACTATGAATAAAATTCCCCTTAAAACACAACACAGAGCCCAAGCATGACAAGTACTATATTCATTCACCACGCAACATGCACAAGAGCAAACAATGCGATAGCTTTAAAAATAGTTTATTTCCACCTTCACGAAACATGAGCCTCTGACCATTACACAAGGCACTGCAAATTAAATAAAAACTTATATTAGAATGCATTTGTCTTACGTGATTCAAGATAAAGTGGATTTTAAAAGTATTGGGGTTCTAATTCGGTACCAGCAATAGGATGCATGCAGCGTGTATTGACATAGGCAGTAATGAGCACGTGTGCATCACATGAGCAGTTCTCCTAAATGAGCAAATTCAGGGCTGCATCTCCGTTTTTCTGTCTACATAATAAAATGCCAAAAGCACTTCCCTAAAGTGCAAAGACTTTTTCCTCATAGCCTTGGTACCAGTAACAGAAGATGATTCTAAACATCTCCAATGTGGTTTTCATTATATAAAAACATGTTTCACATAAAAGCTTCATAATATAATCCAGAGACAAGGGTTGGTGCATGTTTAAAATGGGAAGCTGATAACTTTTCATTTCTTCTAGTTTTTTTTTTTTTTTTAATGATATGTACCCAGTTTCCTATCAGTTTAAACACACACGAAACACTTTGCTCTGAGCACCATGTTTACCTTTCTGAAGCCTTTTTGGGACTGTAATCCCAGTCCAAGCAGAGGGGCCCTATTTTCTGTTCAGACTTAATCCTTTCCCCAAGTCATGACAGTGTTGACCAAATCCCTGCAAATGCTCAGACACAAACAAAGGCTTGTGGGCAGAGGTCCAAATAACAATTTTGAGTAATTTCACAATGATCTGGTTAAGAAAACACACAGAAAAATGAATGATTTTGCTTTCTGAAAAACTTCGACTGAATTTCAACAAGAGATAGATACGAGAGATAGGAAGCATTGCTTCCATCCATGATGGGACTCTTTTTTTTTTTTTTTTTTTTGCTGCAGTACCAACAAATCCACAACAACGTCCCAGGTCGGCCCTCCTAGGGGCCTCCACTGATAGCTTTCGAGGTAGATGCTGATGGCTTGAAGAGAGGTAGGTAGAGTCCAAATTTGTTTTCAATCCCTGCAAACGTTGCAACTGCCAGTTTGTAGCCCCCGACATGATCAGGATTAGGAGCAGGCAGTGTGATCCTGGATTTAGGAACTGGTTCCGATCCCATAGGCTTTCTAAAAGAAGAAAAATGAGAGTAAGATTCTGGTGTGTGTGTGTGTGTGTGTGTGTGTGTGTGTGGTCTTTTTTTTTCTTTTAACTTGGTAAAAACAACATTTAAAAACTGTTAAAGCATGCAACATATCGGAACTGTTGAATTCTAGTCCTTTGTAGGTTCCCCTTTGGAATGGTCATGTGCACATGATTCCAGTGCATTTGAAAACCTTTTCTGTTTCATAACAAGGACTAGACTGATGTACTGTTTTCAGTAACAACTGAGTATCAAAAACAGCCGAAATTTCACAGCAGATTTCTCATGATACTTACACTCCTCCAAAATCAATGTAGAACCACCGCTGTAGCAATTCGTAAGTCAGCAAAGTTACGCCAAACTGGGGTGAGGATCGAAATACACGCGCTTTGAAAAAAATGGGGAAGTAGCAGATATAATTAGATTTTTAAAAAATTTACCTGATACCAAAGGGTTAGTTAAGAACAAATTATTTCCGTACCACCAGCTCCTTTCCACAAAGCTTTTGGGCCTTCTTCCCGCAGGATCTTTCTGAAGCAGTCTATCACTCCACTGTAAGTGGTTTGGCCAGCCCGGGCAGCCACCTGTAATCTTGTCTTGATAACATCAGCAGGGGTCACTAAAGATGCCGCAGGCATACCTGCAGGAGAGACACAACACCATCTCAGTCCGGTCACATTCTCACTATATAAAAATAACTGTGCTTTGAACTGCTGGCCGTGGAAAGAAAGTTAAGAATCCAATGCAATCAATTGCCTATTTCACTGTCCTCGATGGGAAGCAGAGCCGTGACTATCTTGTCTACAGCGATGCTGCTCCAACCCACCTCCCCTCCCTACAGTGACATCTCCTTCCCAAATCCTGCAGCTGTCGTAGGTCGGTTTCTGTTCTGAAATATTGACGTAGTTTAAGGAATTATAGTTTAAGGAATTATATATCCATAACACTGCTTCGATGCTAATTCAAGAGTTAAGACAAATGAGTGGTGTTTTGTTGTGTTTTGTTTGTTTTGTTTTGCTTTGCTGCTGAAATAAAAAACTTGCAAAGTTATTAGGTCTGACTTTTCAGAGGTGAAGCTTGTGATGGATTTCCTCTTCATGGTTTTCTGTGGCTGTTGGCAGTTACAGGAGGTGCCTTCCCTAACACGTTTACCCACCCCTACCCTCCAAGCCCTAACCTCTCCAGTTATACCAGAAAAATAGTCTACTGATAGCTGCACAAACAGTGTGTGTGTGATGAGAGTAGGGGGCTGGGGAGGCTGGGACGGAGTGGAGAATCCCATAGATAACACTGGGATTTCTTTTTTGTAAGACTGACATCTCCAGAAAAATATCTGACAGACATTTTAAAATTTATACTGGCCGATAATCAATGAGAAGGAAACAACAACAAGAAAACCATCCCCAAATTACGAATGGGAAATTTTTCTACAGTCATTTTATCCAAAATGGGGCAGCCCATGTTTAGATTTTGTAAAAGCGAGACTGTACTCAGAAGACACTGTCTCTTATGGTTTTATTACTTTTCCATTATGAACCGATTCCAAACCAAATTGGTCAAATGCAGATGCATAAATCTCCTTTGCTTTTTTTAAGGCTTAATAATTCTGTAAGAATTTCTGTCCAAACCAGCATGGTCTGGCTCATAACTCCATCTCATCCTTCTAAAAGACAGCTTTAAAATTCCCCCCGCTCTCTCTCTCTCCTGTGTGTGTATGTGTGTGTGCGTGTGTGAGACTCTGCATAGGACATGCTTGCATTGATATTACTGAAGCAGATCTCTTCCTCAACCATCTTCACTCAACTTCTCAAACATTGATCTTAAGTAGCCGTTTTTATAACGTGCATTGCAATGTTGCATGTGAACACTCACTTTATATCCAATGCTTCACTGAATAAGTCATACTGGATTTCCTATTAGTTCGAAAGAATGAGTTTAACTTTGAGCCAGGAATTTATCCTCCAACAGAATGGAAGGAAACATGAAAAATGCTTAGAAACCCACTGTGTTCACACCACCGATTTTGTTTTGCTTCCTGGTTTAGAAAGAGTTCAGCAAGGCAGGCTGCTTAGCACATGCAGTAAAACCCTCCTTACAGCAGTGAGAAGGCCTGTCAGCACAGGACTGTGAAAGACCTAACAGCAATAGAAGGGGCAAAAAGTTCCCTGTAGTTAGGGTAGCTTTCATAAACAGTTTCCTGTTAGGAAAAGAGAGAGATGTTGGGAAGGAGGAGTGCAACGATGAAGGATATTGAAATACCAAAAACATAAGCTAGTTAGTAAGTTGCTTAGCAAACTTGATTGGTGTGGTGGGAGATACTGGAAATGCAGCAGCCTGAAAAGGACTCTCATCACCTCCACCTCTCCTGAGCTGCAATCTACTTGGGGCCTAGGAAGAGATGTGGATCTCTCTGAGGCAGTGGATTTGAGGTCTGGGGATTTGCTAAATTTTACCCAGAGAACTTCACCAAGCTGCTCCAGAGCAATGCTGGGAAAGCAGCAGAGATAGCCAAGAGGTTGGCCACCAGAGATCTGTTTATTTTGGGGGCCTCAGCTAGCAAAGACTCCAAAAGAATTTGCCTGATCTCTCGTCTTCCAGAACCCTAAGACAATGCTGACCAAGCGGTCTGAGTTTTCTCTGTTCCTAAAGATAGGAAAGCAGGAGACCACTGGGAAACAGGGAGGCTTCCTTTAAGTTCCCCAGCATGAGGGACTGGCAGCCCACCTGATTCTTTAGTAATGAGAAACCTTGTGGAGACCTTGTGGCCACATACCGCCCCCATGACAAGAACAATTTAGGGTGCTCCTTAGTCAAAAAAAGTTATGTCTTCATGGGGGCCCAGGAGCTCGAGAGTAGATTATTTACAACAAAAAGAAAACATGACCAGCAAAACACAGCTTTGGGGCATGAGTCACCTATAATTTCATAAATATCCCACTAGTCTTTATAAAGAATGTGTTTTTGTGCTTATCAGATACAAAGGTTACAATATACTTATTTTGGATCAAGGAGAAGAGTTTTCCAAATCCCCTTTGCATCCTTATATGTTATCTACTTGATACGTCAGCTTCTAAGAGCAATGTGATCGTTTCTCATGAGGCGCGAGAGGACGTTACATTCTCTTTATATACTTTTAAGCTGAAATTTTTATAAGACAACATTACATTGATACTTCAAAGAGGTTAATGACAATATCTCCATTGTCAATTTTTATCTTTTATCAGCATAAAATATGTCCCCATGCTTCTGAACGCCATTTTCAAACCATGAATTCCACTTAGTCTGACATTAGTATCATTGCATTTGCTGACTGTCTATATTTACCTAATACTTGGTTTTCCATCTGTTTTCTTTCAGTCTTTCTATGCTACTATTTTCTCAAACTTCAGGTGACTAGATTTTTTTTTTCAAGAGTTATCTAAAGGGGTTTGTATTTATTTATTTATTTAGATATTTATTTAGGAGGAGTATCTGCATTTATTGTGGGGACTGGACTTATTTCTATCCTATATGGTGCTTTCTGTTTTCTCTGCTTCTAGTTACTTCCTTTTGATCTCCCCTCCTTTCCTGACTAGGTAACTTTATTTAAATATTTGATGCATTTATTCATCTGCATACAGTTACTATGTGCACATTTAAAAAAAGTTATTTCTTTCATTTATTATCATTTTAATTTGCTACAGGGAACGTGCACTCCCCAGTGAGAGAGAAAGAGAGAAGAGAAAGTGAGAACGCAAGCCACCAGGTCCGGGGAATTGAACAGCAGTCAGTCCCATGGGAGTACAGTGCCTTCAGCATGCCACCTGCTGACCCCACAATGTGCACATTTAATGAGCATTTGCAGCCTCCTTGAGCAGGCTGCGGGCTTTAGCACATTTGAATTTCGTCTTTCATTTACCTGTCTCCCAATAACCCTTGGATAATAACTACATATACCAAAGTCGGCAACAATTTCAACTTACTCATAAGCCCAACTTTTATTAGCCATTTTATATATCCCACATTTGTTGTCTTCTTTTAAAAGTCACTTTTTAATGCAAGGCAACCTTTGAGTTCTTGCATATGAGAACCTAAGTTTCCCGATACGAGTGTGCCTGGGAGCATAAGAGATTCAGGACATCTTCTCCTTGGCACTTCGAAGGTGTTCAGCATTGCAGATGGGAAGTCACTCTTCCATTACGGATTTATTCCTGACTTCTCTCCTATGGCTTCTCCCTAGGGAACTTGTATTAAATAGATGTTAGACCTCCTGGATGAATCCTACATGTCTCTTAAGTTCTCTCTTACTTTCCATCTTTGTCTTTTTGTCCCACATTCTGGATTTTCTTCCCTGACTTATTTTCCAGATGTCTACCTTAGTCTTTGATTGTGTCCGTTTTATCGTTCAGAACCATCCCTGCATTTTTAACTTTGGCAATCCTTTTATTAATTTTCAAGAAAACTTCCTTACTGATTATTCCTTTCAAATCTCTCTGAGGGGCCTAATTATAGTCCGTAAAAATTCTCTTCTGTCCCTTGAATTGCTGATTTTCTCTGTAATTCTTCTGTTCACTTGCCTTGTGGCTCCTTCATGGCTGAAGACCTCTGGCTGTCTACTGCTACTGAAGTTCAAAGGATGGGATGATTAGTATATCGCAGGCATTGTAGGTCTGTGCTGTGCACAGCTCTCTTTTCTGGGTTAAAGGGGGCCCATGGGCTTTGGATGAGGTCTACTAGCTGGGTGCAAGGAACTAGGCAGACAGGCGGGGTGGGGATCTTGCAAACTGCTGAAAGGAGATCTCTTCACTTTAGAGGCAGAAAGATTATTTTATACTCGTCTTTGTGAAGAGCTGCCATGAGTTTATTTTTTTCTGCATCGGAGCTGAAGGTCTAGAATTACCTTAAGCTTTGCCCAGCTTTCTTTATTTCAGTTCCGTTCACTTGCCAGGACCCTTTCTTTAAATATAGCTCTCTGAGCTTTTTTTTTTTTTCAATAGAGAGATTTTTGCTATAGGGTATGATCTCACCAGAGAGAAATCGCCTCCCCTCCCTCCCGGCCACGGTGGATGGCTATGCTGCAATCTCTTCTCCTCCATTTTCTTCTCAGGATTTTGACATCCATGCACATGCACCCAGGGTGAGTTTTAAGCTGTTCCCCATAGCTCTGAGCTTTTTTTAACAGGTGACAAAGGTTGACTGCAGATCCATAAAGAAATGAGGAGGACCAAGCTCTGTCATTGTGTAGTAAATGTGCCTCTCCAGTTCAGGTCAATGATTTACCCAAAAACCTTCACTCTTGGCAGTCTATTGTTAAAATTCTCTGGGTCAGCTCTTACATTAGAAGTAGTTTTTCAGTCCAGTTTCAGAGTCAACATGGCTCTGTTTCCTGTCTGCAAAGGGCTGGCACTAACACTTTCTAGTGTCAATAGAGAATTTTACAAATGTAGATCCTGAAATTTTAAGGTATTTGGGAGGAGAGATGAGATGGCTACATATGTGCAGTCCATTACTATAACCCACTCTCAATTATTTATTTTTTTTAAGATCTAAGTGTTGCTTTTAAATTATCTTAAGCTTTAAGTCTCCATCATAAAACTGTCCAATAGTACTTCTCTCTTAACCCTTGCAAGGCACCAAGACTAGTCATACATACAACACTTT